CATGAGAGACAGCATCATCTGTTTTGAGAATGACATGTTTATTGACGGCATTTATAAAACCTGCGGGGCCACATACCGTCTCCTCAGCAGATAGAAACCTGGCCTGTGTTCAAAATTCACCTGAGAATAAAATAAAAAGGTTTGGCCAACAGCACATGAATGATTTCCCTGACTGATTTACAGCCTTCCAACATGTCGGGCAGTTTGTGAACACAATGTCCTTACTCAGCTTCCTCAGGGTGAAATGTTCTCGGTATGAACTATAAAAACACTCCGTTTTTCACAATCATTCAGGGACATTTTGGTATGTGGTGTGATTAAAACAAGGTAGTAAAGTCAGCTGTGATCCAGGGCGGTTTTCCCTCATGGCTTCATTACTCATTCATACATTTTTATGCTGCATAAACAGGTGCTTTCTTAGCTTTTTGCCTCATTATTTTGAGCTGAAAAGTAGCTGTGTGCAGTGTTCAGAGGTGACTAATGTACTGAGTCACACGTCTGGATCTTTAATTGAAACTCCTCCAGGAAGAATAATGTGTGTCTTATGGAGTCAGGTTAACACGACCAGGTGGAATATTACCCAAGCCAGCCACAGTTTATAGTGTCTCCATGGTGACGGCACACGTGCTAATCACAAAAACATGCAGGAGTGACGGGCTGCAAATCCTGAGATGATGCTTAAGTAACATTTAGAGACTCGAATCATCTGAGGTTTGAGTGAAATGTGGAGAGGATGATTATTTTAACGATGCAGTGATTTTAGACAATTTACTCACACCCTGCAGGTTTCCTTCTTTTAAAGGTTTCCATGGCGCTCAGTGCTCCTTTAAAAAGACTTTGAAATTTATTTTGGTGTTTTTGAGTTACTACAGAAAAAGGTCTGTACTATAGAGAACACACAAACTGTATCCCAAACATTATTTACCATGACTTCATTTTTTCTCCAAGTTAAAGTGCGTAACCTGCTGCAGAAATGACATTATAAAGTAAAGCTTTAAGTAATGCATCAACAAGTCGGAGGTTGTTACTCATTAAAAACTCAAAACAATGACGAAACCAGAGATTTTCTGAAATTAATACCTTTTCTATTTTCATTTTGATATTTAGGTTGTTTAATTGCCTGCATTTTAAACTGTGCTTTTATTTTGAAATATAGGCCTGGTAGATCACAACTTGTGCAACTGGATGAAAAAAAAAAAAGAAAAGTTGGCATTAATGTTCCTGAAGGGGCAGAGGCTCCAATGTTGTTTTGGATAGGGTGACCTGTTTTTTGGGGGCTGTCTGGCCTGTCCGGGGAAGTTTATAAAATCCTTTAAATGTCTGGGGTTTTGTATGGAAGTTTTTAGTTTGTGTGGCTTGGGCTTACTAAGTAAAAAGCTGAAAAAAAAACATTCAACCCGACCTGAAAAACTCTCAAAATTTACTACTCGCGACTCCCTGACTAGTCGTGTCCTCTTTTTGGGCATTCAGAATATGGTCACCCTAGTTTTCGATTCTCCTTCAGTTGCTGATGTTCGGGTTTTCAAAGTGTCCATTCATTTCTTGGAGCTAGCTTCTTCTTCTTCATCTTTGTTCTGTTTAATGACCAGCTTGAAGGAGCTCATATAAATGTAGGTATTACTGTATGCTAATTTTAGCACAATATCAATATTTCACTTTTTAGAATGAGGGTTATTGTCAATAACAGTATTTTTCAGCAGCCCTGCTTTTGTAAAAAAAAAAAAAAAAAAAAAAAAAGATTTGGTCTTCAGGGTATTTTCTAAAAATTTAATTTGTTACTCTGGGAAATAGTTACTGCATTTCACACATTGATAAATGTCACTTTCTTCCATTATCCTTTACATTAGGTAATGAAGAAAAAAGGATTAGGCCTGATGAAATACAATGTTTGAAGGATTTCAATAGATTATCTAATAAACACAATAGGTTGGTATTATTAAATCGATCTAATTGAAGTTCTTTCAGGAGCAGAGCTCTTGGCTTACTGGTAAACACACAGCCGTGTCCAGCCTCCACCTTTTGTGTTTTTGTTGCAGCCCGTATGTCTCACTGAAGTCTGTCCACTGTTGCAGAATTTAAACTGCTCTAAATTACGGCCCATCGAATGACATTTACAGATGTCCATGTTGGAGTAAATGGAGAGTCATAATGACAGTTATAGGAGGAAATATTTCAGTTGTTGATTAGTCCCCCTCCTCCCCTCTCTGGCGCCACAGCTCCCACTGTCAGACGTTACAGGCCTGAAAACTAATTCATAGACTCCTCAGGGGGAAGAAATCCTGTCCTGTGTTGGTGGCTGCTGGTTTTCACCACGTGAAACTGAGCTCCAAAGTGTGTGTGATGTTTGATTGGCCTGTGCACGCTGCCCAGCAACAGACAGGGCGACTGACTGAATCACGGTGAGGACCATCTGGGGAGCTGAATGTGTCGTGCTGTGCCAAGCTGCAGAAAAATAACTCATCATCACACTGCCCTCAGAGGAAGACAGAGGAGAGCAGCAGCAGCCGTGCCAGAGAGGTTCACAGTGTCTCATTATCATGTTGGGAACCTGGGACGGGGAATCACCACCTGCCCTTTTCATTGTCTGCTCGCCGGGGTTCGATCTGCACGGCTGTCTGGCACACTGTCTCTGTTTTTGTGTCAGAGCCCCATCCAATTTATTCCTTTTTGCATCATAAATCTCCACACAGTCAAAACCAGCTTCAAAACAGCAGCACAGAAGAGAACGCCGACTTCTGATTGGCTGCAGGAGTCATTTCAAATGGTGCAGCAGGACGCCTCACACATACATTCAGTTGGCGGTTAAATCAGCCGATGAAAAACTGCAGTTTACAAAAGCAACAAAAGACATCATTTCTGTGGGCTAACCCCAATTAATACAACAACTGATGATATTTAATCAAGATCACGTCAGTGCTGTATGAAAGGGCATTACAAAACAACACAGTAATTTTCTCTGATCAGGATAGTAGTTGATGGCATTTAAAGTTGTGGTCCAGTGATATGGGTCAACACTTTCAAAAGAAGTTTACTTCTACAACAGGAAAAGTTGTCAATTAAAAATAGATAAATTAAAAAAGAAAAAAAAAATCTTTTGGCTGGAGTGGCACCTAATTACTTTGAATTTATTGTGAAAATATTCGTCCCAACCCTCTCTGTGGTGTCATAAAACAAAGCCAATGCCAAAGTGCTAACAAACTGCAGTTCCTCTGGTGTCCACTTTAGGCTGATATTAGAAGCCCGGGATTCCTTGTTAACAGTCATGCTAAAATATCTGTTTTTACAGCCAGGGCTTGAAGACTTCTGGCACGGTGCTGGAAATCCGGCTCAGGATTTTTATTTTTTTTTTCTCTAATAATGTCAAAAAAAAAAAAAAAAAATAGAAAAAATTCCTAGTAAGTTAGATCTGAATATTACCGGTAGAGGACAGCATTACGCATCCTGCCAGAGAAGAAGAAGAAGCGGAAGAAAAATAAGACACATCAGCGAGTCAATTTCAAACATTGGATACCAGGTACATCAATCCAGGAGAAGAAACTGCAATATTGGAAGCTGGACTTGGGCGGAGGAGGCTGGAAAAGATGGAAAGCCTCACGGTAGCTGGTGCTGAAAACTGAAAGAGCCAGGTGCTTGTTTTTGTGAATCATGCGCCGGAGAGCTTATGAATGGCAGCAGTGAGAAAAAGTTGGAAAGATATTCACAGATTCGGACTTCCGGGATTAATAACTGATGCCTCTATTTTACGTCGTAATAGCACAGACTACTAGCTACAAGAATCAAAAACGGATTTGTTTTACAAGAACAAGCTGTTCTTCTAGCTGGACGAATAATGCTGATCTCTGTGCGCAGCGAGTGCGCGGGGATCGTCTGCAAATCACGATATAAGAACAAGACGCTGCAAACAAAAATCAATAGCTCCACCATTATACAGGACAGAGACCCCAAAAATCACCACACACATCAAGGGACTCTTTATACGACAACAGCTTTTTTAGGAAAATGTGCCTTTTTTCTGCTTCAAGCCCTGTACAGCAGAAATAAACATGTATACAGCGTGGTATAAAAACCTATGCTGATATGAGTGGCTCATTTTTTTATTCATTCACACTGCATGATGAGTTATTATTTTGTATCTACTCTGTTAAAGTGACAGTTAAGAGTTATGTATAACTTTTGGGCAGACTGAAAGTTTAGCTGGAGGACACATCAATGATCACTTTCAATTCATATTTGAGGTTTATGATGATTTGATAAAGACACTTTGATTTTTCCTTTATGCTTGTTTTCCATGTTTGGTAGCATTATTTATAAAGGTAACTTTTTGAGTTTCAATATTACTGCTATTGAACTATAACGATTTCTGCATTTCTGTATGAACAACATACAAAAGAACCACATCAGGATACTCTTCTGTTTCAGTGTGGTTCTTTAGACGACATTTCCAATATGGTGACTGTTGTCTTAAGACTTCATAATGCCACACTGGAAACCACCAGGTGACATCATTGAGACTATGTTCACGACATTTATTGTAAATGATTAAGACTGTCAGTTCAGATTGTCAACTGTTTTTTTTTTTTTTTTTACTGGAAAAGGGTGCAGCTCTCTTTGGTATACAGTAGCTTTATCAAGAATGCTGACCTAAATATCAGTATGTGACAGTGTAATGAAGGCTTGTTATGAATTATGAATATACATTAATACTCTTGGCATGAAATCATGTTAGAAAAGAGTAAAAACAGTTTTATTGATCATTGGTTTTATTGATGTGATGACAGACAGACAGTCTTGAATTTGTTTCAGAGGCTTCTATATGATTTTCCGGAATAATGTTGACATTTTGAAGATTATTTCATCATATAACAAGCTAAACTGAAGAGGAGAAGAAAATAACCACCATAAGCAGCTCCAGTATGAGCGTTTTTAGTGATAGTTGAGCGTGAGTGTGCGTCTTAGTGCATGCTGACAGGGTGTGATTCAGCCAGACATGCCTGGCATACCGGCTGTGTCCTTCTCCGCATGACGGGATATTTTGTCATCCTGCAGTCTGGATCCTCGCTCTGTGCTGCCTCCGAGTGATGAAGTCTCGCTGCCGCCCAGATTGACGTGACTCACAGCCCAGCAGGCGGCCTCGTCTCTGACCAGTTTGTCTGCAGTGGTGTCAGCTCCCACTGACTAACAGACTCAGGGAGGACGGAGGGTCAGAGAGAATCACTAAAGCACAGTCTGGGTTTCTGTGGCTAAATCTAAGTCCAGGTGCACAGAGTGAAAGGAAAAAAGAGGCCAGAATGGGTCTGACGTGACTAAAACAGAAACTGTTTATTTTCAGCTTGATGATGACGCTGATCTCTGGCTAAAATGAGATTTAACTAAAGATGACCTGAGCTGCTCTGTGCTGCAGCACAATGCTGAGAGCTGTAGGTTTAAAAACAGGTGAAAGAAAATACAAGCAATGCTATAAAACAATCTTTGTTCCTCTTTGTACTGACGAGTCTCTTATTAACATTTTTAGTGCTCTATCTGCGATAATCCACAGCTCAACAACTGAATGAGCATGATCAGACCACTTACATCAAAAAGAATTCAGTCTTTCATGTCAAAACTGTGTTTCTGAGAGCTCCCAACCCTTTCAAATGTATATGCTAAATGCCAAAGCCAGAGGCAGGGAGAGCACATCTTCCCTCCACTTCTTGTGCATACATGAAAAGCTGAGGCAGACAGAGCAGTAGCAAGAATCTCGGAAATCAGACACTATAAAAAGGAGGAGCTGGGGTTTCCGCTGTTGTGGGCCGGTGTTAGGATCAGAGGATGGATTCTGGGCTGAACTGGACTTTCATGGCATGCCTGAACTTCACTAACACTTTTACCATCAGATGACATGGACATTTTTTAACTCCTGTTAGTTGGTTTTTGTCCCTTTTTGGCCTCTGCCGGATAGGAGCTTGAGAGGTGGGAAATGTGGGGAGGTAAACACACGGCAAACAGTTGTGTACGCAGAGTTTACCGAAACCACAAAGCAACGAAATGGTTTTATTAACTACAGCTCACAGATGACTTTTGGATTTCACTTTTCTGCAGGTTAAGATCTTTCATCAAAACATGTCATTTAGAGCTAAACATGTCACTACATATCAGAACAACCCAGACTGCAAGCCTTGTGACTGGTCTTCTTACTGACGAGAATCTCCAGCAATGCAGCCATCCTCACTCCTCCGCCTCAGCAGCTGTAGTCCATTCAACCTATCGTCCCCTGATCAGCTGCCATGGTTTCCTGTACACAAAGAGTAACAGGACTTTAAAGGGGCAGTATGATGAGCATAGACATATGCAATGCATGTCTTAAAAAGTTATGAGTTCTGGACATGCTAGGCTAGACTCACCAACAGGTGAGTCAGCTTCGTAGACATGTTGTTGACCTTTTTTATGATTGAAAAGATTTAGATTTAGTTGCAGATGGAGTCTCGTACCCAATGTTTTCCAGCAAATCGATGCTTATATAAGTAAATGACTGGAAAGTCCACCTAAGTCTCTTCCAGAAATCCTCAATGTAAAAATCTTATGTAGGTAAATATTTGATAACTGCCCTGAAGTTTTTCTTTTTCGTTCCTGTCCGTTGAGAATCATAGGTACAATTTCTTCCAATCCAACAGGTGCACCAAAACTAACAGGAGAGAAAGAGCGGTGCCAATCCGGCACCGTCTGTACACGCCTCGCCTACACACTCCTGACTACACAGCCAGACTAAACCATAAGGCCACCAGGTGTTGCCAACGCCTCCTGCAGGCAGATGACTGTGGGCGGATCCATTTTATTTAAAACGGTTTCTTACATGCCTCCGTGAATGTTTCAGTTTTGTTTCATAACTGAAACAGGGCAGAGTAGGATCAGAGGGTGAGGACAGTTTGCAGTGAAGGATTAGGCACATTCATTTTGACCATGTTTGAACTGAATAGATGAGGGTGAGGGAGACTCATAGTCTGACTTGTAGGAAAATCCATGAAGTCATCATGTTTTTTGGCTTATCTGCATTTGGATTGTGTTGGCAGCAGGCGAAACAAGTCAATCCGTCTCTGCATCAACCTTTACAAACTGGTGCTTTGGGTTCCTGAGCCACCTATCAAAATACTTGGACTCCATGTAGTTTCATTTAGTCCCTCAAGCCCAGAAAACCTCAGAGGTGAGGCACCTGCAAAATCCTATCGAATGACCTTCTGGCAGTGTGACCTCCCTACTTCACCTCAAAGCCTGAATCCACTCACCTGCAGAGGACACCATCAGTATCTTAGCTTTTTTGTTGTCCAAACTTTGGATTCAGATTCTTGCTTTTCTGTTCAGCTTTGTAGGACATGACTAAGGTCATATTACTCCTAACTGGTCTCCCCTTACTCAGAGACTAATTTAAAAAAAAAAGAACGTCATGTTTTTCTGCAGAAGTGGTTTAAATCTGGATCCTGATAGTATGGTTTGAACAAGTAAAGACTCCTTGATTTTTCAATGAATCAAAAGAGGATTTTTTTTCAGTGAATCAAAAAAAAAGCAGTTTCTTTTCTCTGGTTTCATACTGTTAAAATAGACCAGAGTGGAGCCGCTGTGTTACTTACTATACAGAGTTAAACTAAGAAGGCTCAACACAGATACATGGCTGCCTAGAAATAAAGTTTGATCGATAAAACTTGGTATAATGAACTAAGATGTGCAGATGTTTACTTTGCACAAAGAGGCTTCGGGCTTTAAAATGTTAGTGTTATGGTTATGTTCATGGGGCATCGGGTGCTTGTTAAACTCCCTGCCCTTCACCGTCTTCCACATTTCCTGTCTATCTTCAGTTGTCTAACTAAAGTAATGGCACAAATGCCCCCCGAAGCCATTAGGAATAACCTGGAAGGAAAATTTTCCCTGCTTTTGGTCAGAGCACACAGTTGCTCATGGTGGTCATTTTTTTTTTTTGCTGATTGTTGGCCACACCGAGAGTTAAGGTGAACTCCCAGAGGCTGTTGTCCTCAGTCGTCGGCCAATGGGTTTTCTGAGATTGCTGTCATTGGACTTTCAGATGGAGAAAGAAGTGTGTATTTTCTCACTTTCTCAAATTGATTTCTCTTTAAGTAGACAATTTTCTCTCCTTCTTGGACAACTCAATACTCTTTTTACTTTAAACACTGAAATGAGGGTTTGCTCTGTTGATCGATCAGTCTGCTCTGAATCGTCTTCAGATATCCTCTCCACGTTGTTAACTTCCTCATGGATCCACAGTCCTCTAAGTTGTGATCGATGATCTGAGATGACTGCTGTCAAATAAACAGTAATTCATCATACACATGGAGAGGAGGAGGAGTAATGGCTGCTGTTTGAACAGACTCTGATGGTCTGACACAGATTCATCGACAGCCACGGCTTAGGGACACAGGAGGAAATGATGTCGTATTGATCAGGTATCCAACATGCTGCCGTTGTAATGGATTCCTTTACAGTTGCTGATTGTTAATCAATACCTCCTCTCCCCTGATCACTCTCAGCCCACTCTCTCACTCCCTCTCGCTAACACTTGATTATCAGAGACAGTTACAGCCACATTAGTCAACATGAAGGGATGAGCTGCTCCTGCTGCTGCTGCTGTTTGCTTCACTCCGACTGGGGATGAAGGTTGTTGGCAGTTTTTGAAATATCTTCACTCAAATTTTCAAATCTTTTCAGGATGAAAAATAGAAAGTGGTGTGAATAGGGATGGGTGATATAGACTAAAAAATTGTATCATGATAAGTTTTGCCATTCTGGCGATAACGATAAAAAAAAAAAAAGAAAATTCTGATCTGTTTTTGACTCATTCTGTGTTGAGGACACCAGCTGGCATAGTCAAAAACAATACTTAACTACAAGTTTAAGTGGGAGGTTATAGAGAAAACTAGTGACATCAAACAAGTCTGAAATGTGAAACACTTTAAACATTTATTGAAAACTCAGCAGCAGATCCACTGCCTGATGTCAGGCATACCTGATTGCACTCGTCTATACCCAAATCTTGAATTAAATCCCTCATGTGGAGCCTTGTTTAGCAACAACCTCAAGATAAGTGAGTCTTCTGTATAATACAGTGCATAGAATCTACACTAAACGTGTGCTGGTACCAAAAACCAAGAAATAATTCAGATGTACAGTACAGGATAAAAGTTTGGACACACCTTCTCATTCAATGTCTTTTTAAATTTTTTTTTATATGATTATTTATATTGTAAATTATCACTGAAGGCATCAAAACTATGAATGAACACATGTAGAATTTTGTACTTATAAAAAAAGTGTGAAATAACCCAAAACATGTTTTATATTCTAGTTTCTTTAAAATAGACACCCTTTGCTCTTGATGACAGAAGTACTTAGTAACCCTGACAAGGCACACCTGTGAAGTTCAAACCATTTCAGGTGACTACCTCATGAAGCTCATTGAGAGAACAGCAAAGTTTGCAGTGCTATCAAAAAAGCAAAGGGTGGCTACTTTGAGGAATCTAAAATATAAAACATGTTTTCAGTTATTTTACACTTTTTTCTTAAGCACATGATTCCACATGTGTTCATTCATGGTTATGATGCCTTCACTCAGAATCTACAATTTATATAGCAATGAGAATGAAGAAAATGCATTGAATGACAAGGTGTGTCCAAAATTTTGGCCTGTGCCATATAAAACTGCACACAGACATTTTCACACAGCGTTCTCTTTGTAAATCACATTCAAACCTGGGGAACGTATGTACTTGGTTCAGCCTCTCTTTTTTGCTGTTCTACCAGCTCACATTCATGTGAAGATGGTCAATGTAAAGCACCATGATGAAAATGCCGCTAATGAGCAGCACTGTAATTACAGAGCAAATAAAGACTCTGACTGCTCTTGAATGAAGTGGAGGTTAGAGAGCACATATTGTACATGTGTACCGCAGAACAGACAAAAATAAAACAGCCTGTTGCTGCAGCTTTCATGTAGCCAGAACATCCATCATTCATCATTGCACACGAGTGTCACTGCCGTGTTTTAATGTTTACGGGATCCACACTGATTTTTTTCGTATTGTGACAGACTGCTCAAGTTAATCAGCAATTTGTTGCATCTTTGTGGAATTATTTGACAGACGTTTGGTTCATAAATGCAGGTTTTATTGGTTTATTTCGTCTTGGCTGG